TTCATCATCTTTACCTGGAGGGGGGAGATGGAATACACTCCCATCAAGGATGACAGGGAATTGAGAAGAGCAGACAACAAATTCCCAACAAACTCCAAGGTAGAGCTGCTATTCACATGAGCCTGCACAGACTAGAAAAGGAGCTGAGAGGAACTGATGTGAAACTCAGAATATCACACACCTAGGAGGGACTTATCCCCTGGAATGGTACAGGCTAGGGACTGACCACCTGGCCAGGCAGCCACTCTGCTGAAAAGACACTGGACAACCTGCTGAGGATAAGCTAAACAAAAGCCACCTTGACAGTGAAGGGAAACAATATACAGCACTCTTAAAATCAAAATCAGCAAGAAATTAGGTATTTCTTAGTTTAGTTCAAATTTATAACTCATTTATACTACTAGACATGAAACAAAGATCTGACCTACTTTTTAACATTAAGGTTCTTTTTGTGCTGCTAAAAAGTAGTATCTTCAAAATAATTATTTTTCATCTTTGTGCCAATATACAGGTACTTCTCCATAGAGAAAATTGCATTTTCTAAGCAAATTAATATTTTACTAAAAGAACTTACTTGACATCAATATTAAGTCTACTTCAGAGCATTTAATGCTTATTAAAAAACCAATCAATGTATCTAAGAGAGAGACACACTCACTTCAGCACAGGCTTTTAAGCAGGTCTTCTTAAAGCCCAAGAGTTCCAAAACCTCCTTTTTAGATGGATCTGCCTCAAATGTTTTCTGTATTATATGTCTTAGGACCACAGAAAGCCCAGCTCGGCAGAATTTCTCATCTTTCACGACAACAGCAGGCAAACTGCAGCTCTGCACAACCACTGGAAGCTGACACCTGGAGATTAAGTGGACCTCGAGGTCACCAGCGAGGTTTTTTGTCACACACTGATCACCCACATCTTCGCCAGTTGGCACTAAGAAAACTTTAAATAGTTTGCAGTCACAGTAGGATAGCAAAAACAGTGAGATAGATGTATGAAGAGGGAAGATACTGTCTCTGTACTGATGAGAAAAAGCCAAATATAAATGTTCTTCAGCGACATTATCTTTCATCTTCTTCCTGAGATGAAGTTCCTGAAATAGAAATCAGAGTATGACATCCATAAAAGAATACAAAATAAAAAAAAAAAAAAATTTTAAATCACTGGTTCTTGCACTATCTGCTACAACTGATTTTAACATAAGACACTACTAAAGACATCCTGCATGAATAATTGGCAGGCCCCTTTCTGAGAGAAAAGAATGATTTCACATCTACACTGTCTCTTCACACACAAGATCATGGATAGGAAAATTACCTCTGTAAATATTTTTTTACATTCTGACATCAAACAAAACCCAAAGAAAATGCGTAACTTTCAATTTTTAAGTGCATAAACATTTTAGACCAAGGCTTTCTTTTTTACATTAAAACCTCCCACAATATTAACCACGCATTATTAAAAAAAAAGTTCCTGAGCACATATCCACAACAGTCAGTTCCCCAATAAAATAATCTGTCTTTTTGTAACTGCTAAAAGGCATTTATAGCAGGTGTTTAGGTCATGGGAAATAATATTGGTTTCTGCATTAAAAATTAATCTAGAGTTGGGTGAGATAATAACTGAAGGACTCATAAGCAAATAAACATTCATCTCATGATGCTACATGAACACCTCAAACACACAACTACTTTAAACCAGTCCAATTCAACAGTAGCAGAGATGAAATATCTTCTCAGTATATTAAAAACTCAAATTAATTTTCCTTACACTGGGTTGAAAGCTACATTTTTCCTACTACAGTATTCCATAGGAGTTTAACATAAGGCACTGATGCAGTAATTTTTCTGCTCCATCACTCAGCAGAATTGCCCATTAGCTCAGAGATGACAGGTGGCACTGAAAAGCCACAGACACTAGATGGCCCTCTTACCACAAGTGACACAGAGCACAGCTCGAGCAGTGAGGAAGAGAAATTTAAATGCTGCTGAGAGGCCAGAATAGGGTTTTATATACATATATATAAAGCATGAGTGACACTGGAACAGCATCACTCTTTCGCATTACTGTCTAGATTAATAAAGTCTTTGCACAATTACAATTGCTTGCATTTTTACAAATGCAAGTATTTTAAAATAAAGTTTTAATTTGATACACCTTGATTATTCAATTTCTTTTTTTTCATGTAGATATGTACATCACACTTACTACTTTGTATTACCATAGGACCAAAACAAATTGCCCAAAAAGGGAGTGGAAGAATAAAATCAAGTCCACCTGACATTAATACTAATGTTTGTTACAGTGACACATTTTTAAACCATTAAATTACAAGAACAGTGGCTCTGCTATGAGTACTGTTGCTTTTCTTTAATTAATACACTGCCACACAAAGAACAGGACAGTACACAATGCCATACCTACATTACCACAAGATATTTTATTTGGGTAAATCTTGACACCATGGAAGTTGAGACAGACTCTATATCCTAAGTACACCTCTGTGGTAGAAATCATCCACTGAAGGCACTGCCAGAGAGGTAAATCAAGAAGAGTTACTACTACCATAGTCACACTCATGGCTTGTAGCATTTAAACTCCTTTTCTTGACTACAGTATCTCATTCAATACTAAAAAGTACTCTTATATGCATTTGGGTTAATGTTTTTGTTCTCCATGTGAACTCAAAGAGCTCACAAGTCCATCTTTTGCTCACCATGCAAACCACTCAGACATAAACATTCACTTCCTCACTCAATTTTTTCTTCTAGTTGATGTTCCTGGACTCAATCAGCTATTTTGGTCATTTTCATGCTATGCAAAACTGCTAAATATTGTGGTAAAAAGCAAAAGCAGATGCAGACATACACAATAAAATAAAATGTGCAATACAGAACTAACCAAATCTAATAAGACATTGCACTATTCGCTCACAGTATTTTTCCCAGCACTTTTTTCTCTAAGTAGACCATAAAGTCTGTAAGAAGAGATGAATTTTTATTCTACTGGCCATATTTACAGTAGACACTGTTTGAAAGAGAGAAAATGAAAAGCAATGATCAATACAGGATTTATACCAAAACTTAAAAGACAAAGATAAATAATGTTGCCTACCTTTGGTATAAAAGACACCTACTTTAAAATTATAAACATTATGTAAGTGTAACTTTCACTAGCAGTGCTGTTTTTCACCATTTTCTCTTCCCTTTCAAAATGCACTAAACAATAGTTAAATAAGTTTCACTCAGCTGCCCTGTTAACAAGGTAATAAAGAAAAACACGGCTTTAAAAACAAGGGTTTCCCATAAAAATTAAATACAAATAAATAAGTACATAAACACCCTCTTCCTTTTAGTCCTTGAAAAAGACTCTATTCATTTGTTGATTACTACACAGTAAAACGGAACTTTTGTTAAGCAGGCACGTTAGAATTCGAGAAATGTTTAACACAATGCCACTTAAAAACGCAGCAAATATTTAACTTAGTGCACAGCATTATTTGTGCTTTAAGGCGCATAACTTGAAAGCCTGGAGTTATATTTCTATCCAAGACGATCCATTTACTGGATGCGTTCAGGGCCACCACTGCACAGAAGAGGGAAACACAGAAGAGCTTCGGACCCGAGCTTCAGGCAGCTCTACGAATGAACTGGAAGTTGGGGACGGCTCTGGAGAGCCAGACGCGGGCGGGACCCCGGGGGAACGGAGCTGGGACTCCGGGCCACGGAGCCGGGACCCCGCGGGACGGAGCCGGGACTCAGGACGGCTCCACACGCCTGAGCCCAGCTGAGAGCGACACCACCGAACCAGGGCTCCCTGGCAGCCCCGCTCGCTAAAGGCTCTGCTCCCAGCTGCTCTCGGTGCCCAGGCGGCGCTGCCAAACCATCCCCGGGACTTTGCTACCACCACCTTCCCTAGATCCTGCCCTTTCTCCCGCTCCTTTTCCTTACCCCGGCCCGGCCGCTTCCGCCCCGGCTCCGCCCCTTCCTGCGCCGCCGCGGCCCGCACGCACCGCCCGGAACTGCCGCCCGCCGCCCGCGCTGCGCGGGGACTGCGGTGGCGACGGACCTGCCGGGGCGCCTTCCTCCTCCTCCTCCTCCTCCTCCTCCTCCTCCTCCTCGTCGTCTCCGGTGAGACACCAGCGGGCGGGAAGAAGGCACTTGAGAGGAGGAAGAGAGGATTGGGAAGAGGAAATTTGAGGGAAGGAAGAGGGCGATTGGGAGGAGGTAGAGTGCGACTGGGAGGATGAAGGAAGAGGGGAGCTGAGAGAGAGAAGAGGGGGTTTGGCCACAGGAAGAGGGAATTTAAGGATTGGGAGGGGAAGAGGGGTTTGGGAGGAGGGGAGGAAGAGGGATTTAGGAGGAGGCAAAGGGGGGGGGTTTGGGAGGGGGAAGAGGCGTTTGGGACGAGAAAAAAGGGGTTGGGAGAGGATAGTAAGGATAAGTTTGGGTGGGAGAAATTGGGTGTTTGGCAGGAGGGAGGAAGAGGGAGGCTTAAGGCACACCTGACCGCTCTTTCCCTCGGGCCGGGTGAGCTCTGGGTGTCCTGGGGGCCCGGAGGGAGCGGCGCTGTCCCTGTGGGACACGGGGGTGCCAAGGGACGGCCCCTCCTGGGCACACGTCCGTGAGGGGCGATAATAGTTGTAGGAGGGTGTTATTTTATTCTTTTGAGCATTCTAAAGTGTTGCTTTCCAATGAGAAGCCTTTCCTTCGTTGGTAAAAAGAAATCCCAGGGAGAAATTTGCAGCGAGTATGTTTCGGAGGGTTGCATCGTAGCTTTGGCGTATCTGTTTCAGAAATTTAATTGAAGTTTGCTTCTCTCTCTGAGAAATTACCAGGAGGATGATGCCCAGGAATTTGTACACTTGATGAGTTTCAGTGTGGGCATTGAGTAATGCAAAGGTGAAAACAGTAGTGGGGGTGTACTCAATTAACCAGCGGCTTAAGCCAATGAGCAGTGACGTGTTGAAACACCTTCAGGTCCATTTTCTGCAGGATATTGAAGCTCAGTGGTAGCAGGGCTTAACAAATCTCAGTTGTGCAGGTACAATGATCACAAAATATCCTGAGTTGAAAGGCACTCACAAGGATCATGCCATTTATCAGGAAAAGGATTCACAAGGAAAATACGTCACCTCTGCTGCGTGGAACAAGTGTGTTAGTGACAGCAGAAACAGATAAGGGTCAAATAGTTGATGTCTTCTTTGCCACAGACTTGACCTGTAAGGTGTCCCAAGGCCTTTTGCCACAAGGCAGAGCTTAAGGAGAGGAGGAACTACAAGTTGTGGAAGAGGATTGAAGCAGGATTGTTTCCCTGATAAGTCCGTGGGCCCAGGTAGGCTGCATTCAAGGGTGCCAGCAACTGACATTGTCTTCACAAAGCTGCTTTCTCTCATCTTTTAAAGGCCATGAGACTGAGGGAGATCCCAAAGACTGGAGAAAGGCAAATCTTATCTTCATAAGGGCAAGAAGAACAAGCAAGAGAACTACAGACTGGTCAGCCTCATTCCTTCCTGCTGTGGAAGGATTGTGGAGGAAGCCATTTGTGGCATAAGAAGGTAAAAACTGGGCAGAGCCAGATCTACCAAGGATAAATCATGTCTGATCAATTGGCATGTTCTCTGTGACTAAATAGCTAGATCTGGAGATGGAGGGGGTGTTGGATACCATCTGCTGTGGGCTTAGGGAGATATAATCGAAGTTTTCCTTTACCTGAGGATATTATTGGAAAGATAGAGCCAGTCTTTGTACTCACATGCACAATGGGAGAATGAGAGACAGCACAACTTAAAACCCCTCCAATTCAAAGCAAGGAGATGAGGACAGTGGGACAGGTTGCCCAGAAAGATTTCTGCATTCCTGTCTTTGGAGATTGTCAGGATCCAGCTAGAAAAGTCCTGAGCAAGCTGGTCTGAATTCAGTGTTGACTTTGCATTGAACAGGAGGCTGTAGAGGGTGACTTGTGGGGTCCCTTCCACAAGGCATGATTCCGTAATCCTGAAATAATTCTCTGTTTTTGTGGAGAAAACAGAAAATATAGGGCATTAATGTAATTTTTAAATATTGGATAAGCTGGTTACAGTGATATTGATTGGAATACTAATTTAAAAGAACATTATAAAATATGTTGTAGAATAGAATGTAAAATTAAGGATGCCAGTACTAGTAACTCCATAGCAAGAGATCTCATACGTGTCTTAAAAGATTCTTTGAAGATGATGACAAGGAAATTAGAACTGATTAATACAATTGTTCTCATTAATACAGTTATCCAGACTACTGAAGTGCATGAGTTTTGAAATGTCCCTTGTGGAAAGTTACTGAGAAATTATCCTGTCATAAATCAAGTGCTGATTAAGATACTTAAGTAGCAAAAACTGAAAATAGAAGTTCATTTTTTTCTACTTTTAAGATTTTCCTTGATCTACTTTGTTAAGGCTCATCAGGTCTGAAAGTGACCTGTAAGAGGCATTATTGGTAAATAAGCAAAATCTGCCACTGTCACTGTTAATAGATGTAGTCAGGAAGAAGGTAAATTCTGAGGAACAAAAGGATCCAAAGTGACAGGGAAAAGTGAATTGATTATATGGTAGTAAATGAAAAACAGTGCAGTGAATGTGTTGGAAGGATTTATAAGCTGGTGATTCATGTGACTGTGTTTTAAGGTAGCTGCTACAGATCTTGAAGGTAGCTGAAAAGGATATGTGAGTGAAAGGCCTTTTAATCATAAGTGGCAGTAAAAAATAAAAATATTGATGAGTCTATAAAAGGATGGCATAATAGCAGAAGTCCATAATAGCATTGCAATATAAATAGAAGAGGTGTACTTTGTTGGAAAAACATCTTTAGTAGTACACCTGCCTCAGAAAATAATAGGAATAGGAGCTCAGAAACAAATGGTTGAAAATATGACCATATCTGAAAATATAATGGAAGTAGATCCATTTAGCTGCAAGTTATGATGAATTAGATAACACACGGGCAGGTATGCAAAACAGTGGATGGCAAATGAATGAAAAAAGAAGAGGGCTCCTACACCCTATAAATCTAGTAAGTTTTAAATTGGAAGACCATGTATTCTAGAGTGCACAGTTAAGGTCAATTGTATTTGGCAGAAGACAATAGTATACTCAAGAAATGAAAGAATCCTACACTTCTTGGGTGTTTTAAGAATAACAACTCACTGATTAACATCTGTTTCCCCATAGATTTAAATCACTTAGGATAGCCCACCTTGGGAGGTAACAGAGACCTATGTTGAGAAAGGTGCTTTTAGGGTTAGGCTCAAGGATGTGCTTGCTTGGTGCAAAACCTGTTCTGCTCAGGGTTCAAGGGTTTTAACACAGCCCTTTGATCTCACAGCTATTATCAATCTAATGCAGAAAAGACAGCATCATACTCACTCTTTTCTAAATAGCATTTTAGTTTTTATTTCCTATACTAAGATTCCACTTCAAGAAGAAAGTCAAGGAGGTCTGTCTTACAGAATAGCCTGTGGCATCATCATTGAAACACTCTGCTGTCCTTGTCTCTAGGCTGTCACATTGCTGTATGCTGACATGACTGCCAGAGGAGCAGTTTGTGTATGAAAACATGAATGAATGAAATTGGATCTTAGGTTTATAAGTGGCAGTCCACTGTTTGATACTTGAAAACAGTTTGAGCTGTGAACATCTGGAAAGGGCCACTACCAAAAGCAGCAATTTGCTTTTTGGACCAGGACAGACATTGTTAGTAACCTGTTTGACAGCAGTGTTATTATGGTCCCATAAGGAGAGCATAATTATCAATTTGCTTTTTTCAGATGATGCTGTTTTTAAGACAGTTAGTGATGTGTTCATTTTTCCATTGAATATACTTCCCTTCTCTAACTCAATAATAGGTTTTTTAAATTTGAAAATACATTCCTAAACTGAGCATACTTGAACTGTTTACTAAGCCCACTTTCCTCTCTTCTCAGGAGAAATTTCTTGTGAAATCTTAATCGTAAGTGTAGTAGCCTGGGACATTATAATTGTCCTCAAGAACAGAGGAAGAATTGCTGCAATTACATAGCAAATAAAGGAATAAGTATGGAGAGCCCTTTTGAAATTTGGGGTTTAACAGTTCCTTTCAATATGTGTCTTTAAAAAGCTAGAGCTAGAAACAAATCTGGGAAGTGTTACCTTCAGAGAGATTTATTTATTCTCAAAATATTAGAGAATGGCTGTGGATGGCTGTTGAGGCTGCCTGTTTCCCATGTACACAAGTATATATTCCTAGTAGAATTCCTCTTTCCCTCAGAGAAGAACTTGAAGGATTTTTTTTTAACAGGGAGTTCTACAAAATTTCTGAAATTAGTGTTTCGATTCTGTGGTTTTCATTCAACAGAGGGTTTAGTAGAGTCCTGGTTTAAGAGTGTGTGGTGCTGACACTTGGAAGGCATGTTCACAGAACAAAGAAATGTGGGACATAACCTACCCACAGATCTCAAGAGCAGCCTGAACATTTATCAGAGGTAGATGGATAAAGAAAAGAGGCTACATGCTCTCTGTGCTCTGTGAATTCACTTTTTGTCATCATCAGAGAGAGACCGAATTGCCGGGACGGGGCTTCTGCTGCAGTCTGTGCTTGATCAGTGGTACAGCCGAGTAGCTGGTGGGTAGCACTGCCTGGCAGAAGTTCTGTGGCCACCAGAAAATGATTTGTCAAGTAGCAAAGATTAAGGAAGAGAGAGGAGGCTCTTGAAGAGGTTTCTTAACTCTCTGCTGGGTCCATTGATCAAATGCCTATGAACTTCTGTACGTTGAACTCCTTGATGATCTCAGTCAAGCGATTCTCTGGTGTCTCGTGAAAGCTCAGCATGAGATAAAGGTTCCTGGGGGCTTGTAGGCAGGTGTTGAGGGAGAAGCCTGCCAGTGCTGGTGTTTTGGCCAGAGAGGTAAAAGTTCACTGCCATGAATATCAAAAGGAATTAATCAGACAAAACCTTAGAAGCTTCAGCTGAAAAAGCTGTCCAAACAGTGCTTTTGATGAAAGAACTGATAAAAGGTTTTTCAAGAATGTCTTCTAGATTATTGTAGGTAAAAACCCAAACCCACAAATAATCCTGATGTGTTTTAAATGAGACTTAAAGGGATTAATAATAGTAACACTTCTCATACATTTTTAGAGAAGATCGGGAAACTTCCCGTGTTATTTCTTAAATTATTGTCATTTACTGATCTAAGTTAGCTATCGATCTTTGTAGGAACAATTTCTGGTGTAAATTCCTTAGAGTTTTTTAAAGAAATTAACACAGTGCTCCAGAGTGCAGGAATATATTGCTATGAGGCAAAGAGTTTTCCTCAGTTTATTCTATTTCCATGGACACTGTGGCGTCTCGCAGCTCTGGATAGTCATTATATGACATTACACTTAGACTGTCACATGAGTATGTGGGTAGGTCACAGTCTGAATTACAAATCTTTTCACTGTTTCAGCTAAATTTAAGAATGTATTTTTCAGCTATTTTACATATATATATATATGTGTGTAAAATACACTAGCTGTTTATATCTTACATGCTACAATGAGCTGTTCTTTTCAGAAGTTTCAAAACTTAATTTTTCTACAAGTAAGATTTTTCCTAGTTGCTCTTAAATAATCAGCAAGTTAGAAATCACTTTATGTGCAAAAAGCGTTAAGGAAATGGGTGGCAATTGCTTTTCTTGAAGTTACTATTTATTTTGAATACTTTTCAGTATTTTTATATATGAAATATCAAGAATATGATATGATAAATATCATTATATGATAAATATGATTTTTTTCATTTATGTAAGTATGATGTGTTTCATTTCTGAATATCATATATGCCAGAGAATTAATTTTACATTTCAGATGTCCAGTCATATTCTAAGTTCTGCAGCACTGAAATTCACAGCCATCTTCTAATGATAATTAATTCCCATATTATCCTTTCTGCGGTTTAATATAATTAAATTTTTAAAAGTAAATAAATCTTTTATTTGCCACATGCTGTTTGAGTTATGCTCCATGTGAATAAAGTTGTCATTGTTTTTCTTTTTTCTTTTAACTCGTGTTGAAGACACAACTATGGCTGCTACAGTGAACTTGGAGCTGGATCCCATTTTTCTGAAGGCCCTGGGCTTTTTGCACTCCAAGAGTAAGGACTCTGCTGAAAAGCTGAAAGCACTCCTTGATGAGTCCTTGGCCAGAGGAACTGACTCCAGCTATCGTCCCTCTCAGAAGGTACTGGTGTTGGGCAGCATGGCTCCTTTCTGTGTGCCTTAATAAAGCTCCTGCTAGTCCTGGTTACCCTTTTACAGCTGGAAAGTTAAAAGAGAATCAGAAGTTGAGGAAAAAGTAATTATGGAGTATTCATATTCATCATTCCCCTTTTCCATACAACATAATCCTTTCAATTAATGGAAGTTAATGGGAAAAAAATCTCTTTACCTTGTTGATCCACCAATACTTAAAAGAGATATTCAGCATTATATCAGACATGCTGTTTAAGGTGCACCCAAATTTACATATTTCTGCAGTCACATTTCAGAGCTAAAAGTTCTTTAAGATATAGATTACATTTGCCACAGAAAAATGAAACAAAATAAGCTATTTACCAATAAAGCTGTATCTCTTTCCTTGAAATTCTGTTGATGAAATCGTAGGAGAAAACCACCAAATGGTTCAAAGCAGAAATTATTTGCAGGCTGAAACCATTGCTGTCCAATGGACAAACATTACTTTTCATCTACTGAAAATCACTGAACACCTGCTAGAGAGAATATTTGACTGTGAGATGAGCGTATGGAAATAACCAAGCAGGGACATCCTCATGCTGCTGTGTATTGCCATATGGATAATGAGGTCTTGTTCTCCCCTAGGAGGCCTGCATGTCAGCCTGCTGTTCTAATGGTGGTCTGTAGGCTGATACATTTGCAATATTTCATTTCTACATGGCTCCAAATAACTGAAAGGAACTAGTACTGCTCAGCATCCATCATGCTTTACTGTGTGGTCTAACTCCTTTCTGTTAACCTGAAACCTACCACAGGTCTCAAAACTCTCAGGTGCCCTTCATCTCAAAGCTCAAAGAATAAATGTGTGGTTTAAAGAGGAAGCAGGGAGCCAAATAACAGTGCAAAGAGGTTTGGGAAGCCAATTCTAATAACAGCTTGGCTGGAAGTCACTTGCCCTCAGGTGAAACTGAAGCTCAGGCCAGAGGAAGAAATCTTTCCTTCTCTTTTCAGTATATATCAATATCAGCAGGACTGCAAAGGTCAGAAATGAAAAAAAGTACAAGTATTCCTTTCCTTGCATTTGCAGGCTGCAGGGTGAATTTGTGGTTGACCATGAAATCCAAGAAGAGAGTAGGGAACACAGGATTACCACAGTCAAGTCAAGGAACTTTGGAGGGCTGAAGCTCAGGGCTTAGGACCTGTCCCAGTACGTAGCAGAGAATTGCTCCCATCTTACCAGCTGGGAGGGGGTACCTTGCTCATGCCCATCAGTGTGACTGTCACTCATTTACAGGCTCTCCTGATTATTATCCATTTGCTGACACTAATGTGTCTTTAATGAGAACAATTGATTTCTGTTGATATCTAAATGTATTAATCTGATAGACAAATATGGACTGAGATTAAGAGGAGGTCAATATTTCTCTCCATGAAGGAATGAATTATTGATGTCTGGTTATATCAGTTGTTAGCTTGTGTTTTTAGCTTATATGTTTTTAGCTTATATTGAATTTTGTCCCTAGAACTATCTGAAAATTCATGTTCATTACCTCTTTGAATTTTAAAAGCAGAAATGTCTCCTTTTTAATTAAAATGTTCCAAAGAGGATCTGTCTTTGGAAAAGGCGCACCTTTTCCTCAGAAAGGTGAGTGGTAAGGGAAGATTTTATTAATTCTCTGCAATTTAAGCATTAATTTCTTGATGTAATATGAAAATATTTTAAGAAATTGGTTTTTTATATAGAAAGTGTATATGTAGATCAGTGTTGTATGGCATATTGTTTGCCTGTCCTGTTATCTCACTAATTGCAAATTAGGTAGGAACTGAACAGCAGAATTTGGCTTCAATTTTTGTTTCTGTTTCCAGGAAGTAGAGCAACCAAAAGTATCTGTCACCAAACCCATTAAGCAAGAGCCTAAAGCTTCATCCAGTTTGCCTTCTGGCAACAACAATGGCAAGCCCACTGCATCAGAAAAAGTGAAAAAAGAAACAGAAAAGAGATCTGCAGATAAAGTAAGTTATTTTTGTTCTCTAGTGAAATAACTTGGCTAATGAACTCAAAGGTGTTTTAGACAAAGGTTCCCCTTTTCAACTCGTTGTATCTTCAGCTCATTCTAGCCTGTGAGCTACATTAGTCAGTCCTGTTGCCATTTAGGCAATCTAATAAATGTCTTCTTGTAATTATTCTGTGGTTATTTTTCCTGCTCATTGTGGCGAGGTTGGACTTAAGGGATGCCTTCCAAACCATTCTGTGTTTTAAATCCTAGGAGATTATCTCATAAAAGATTACTAAAATGTAGCAAGTTGAAATGTGATATTCCCAAAGTTTTTTCAAGGAGTTTGAGGTGAAGTACAAAAAGGAAGCTTGAGCTTCTAGTTCATAAATATTTTGTAGAAAATATGTAATTAAAGAAAATACATTGTATGTATGCTGCATAGAGTACACCTTCTTATACTGCTAATATAACTGTTCCATTTTAACTCATTTTAATAATCTGCTAGCTTGTTGCATTTTCACATTCTCTGTGTGTGTGTTTAATAGACAAAAGGGGATCCTGCTGAAGGAGCTGATGCACCAAAGAAGCCCAGGGTGGAGAAGCAAGAGGCTCGGTCCTCTCCTATTACAGTTCAGACGAGCAAGGATTTATCCATGCCTGATTTATCTAGCTTTGAGGAAACCAGTGCTGATGACTTTGCCATGGAAATGGGATTAGCCTGTGTTGTTTGCAGGTAAGTCAACATTGCTTCTTTCTAGCTAGGTGTAGTTACCTTTTTATTTTTTAATTGAGTTAACGCTTCTCAAAGTTTTTATTCCGGGAACAACTTAATCGCTTAATATCCAAAATTGATCATACATTTAAGGCTCCTTCATGAATAAGAATGGTTTCTTGAAAATGGAACTTTTAGAGAGTGAACCAGCTTCTCTTCTGCAGGAATGGACAAGTGAAAATAAAACTAGATAAGATGCAAAACCTATCATGACAAATGCATTTTTCAATTATCACAAAACAAAATATTAATGGCTAGCAATAAGCATTTTTTAAAAAATCAGTTCTTATCTGAAAGTACTTTTAGGTGGTATTAATATGAGATCTGTATGTGTTGCTCTTCTTTTCTTAATCATTTGGTATTAGTTTACACATAGCCATGTTTTATCAGCAAATATATCTTGCAGTGAAGACAGGTTGTTTTTAGGTTCCAGTAAGGGCTCTTAATCTGGACTTATTAACATGGTACTAGCAGTCCATTTATTGTTAACAGATGTGCAAAATACTTTTGAATAACTACCCTAAGATCAAATCACTCACACCAGGATTTTGTTTCACAGATCATTTATATCCTTGTTAGGCCCCAATGCTGCCAAAAGGAACAGTTTGGCTCTCCCAGTTTTACCTCCTTCCCTGGACCATTTAGGAGGGTGTATTGCCAGTACAGTTTGTGATCAGCTGAATCAGCCCCTGGATCAACTCTCCACCTGGGTTTTTCTGTAGGTTTGGGTTTCAGTCAGCTCAGTAAGAGTAAATGCTTATGCTGGCATGTGTGTGCAGAGCCAGGACAGAGAGAGGCACAGGCCTTTTGGCAGCAGTATGTGTTTTAACTCAGCTTGAGTCAGTTGGGAAGCGTGTGCTATAATATTATTCTTTCATCATTTCCATGGTTATTCCTGTTGTGAAGATAGGGAAGTGTTGTCAGTGCACAGAGGATAAATTTCTGTAGTTACAGATGATTATACTGGTGACCAGTTGGGGTCCGATGGGATTTCATGTTACTCCCATGCGTTAGCTCAAATAGAAATATCTGAACTTTACCTTTTTTCCTGCAAATTCCATTTTTGCTGTCTCCTAAAAGAGGCAAAGCCCCCTTCAGTGGTATGTTAAAATGCTACTAAAAATAGTAAGGTATTACCTTGTTTGACGGGAGGGGATAATGAAGTTTGGTTTATACAGTCTTGACTGCTGTGGATGATTAATTCTGTGTCTTCCCTGGCAAAGAAAAACGCTTGCAGGCATAATGAGAAATGCCTGCAAAGTAAAGAAACAGAAGAAAGAAAATGCAGCTCCTGTGCCCAGTGTAGCCAAGACTTTGAAAGGCACAGGCCAGATACATGGCTCCATTAGCTGTTCCACAGTCCGTGTTTATTTAACCTGGCTGCTGAAGCTTTGCTTCTGCATGTTCATGGTCACCAACTCGAGTGTTCTTGTAAAAGATGTGTCTGCCCTGGCTAACTAAAATATCTCTGATGCCAGACAGAGGGAGAAGCACTGCTGGGGAAGAAACAACTCATTAGAGAGAGAGTGGCGACAGTCACCCCAACACTCTGGATTGTTTTCATTTTACATGGAACCTGCTGAAAGTGATGTCACATGGTTGTCTGTCTCCAGCTCACACTGGACTGGATTTTTTTCAGAGGACTTGTGCTTTAAAGTTCTGAATCCAGCACATGGGTCAGACAGTATTCCTCTATTTATTGCATCCTTTTTGGGGTAACACCTTGAGCCAAAATAATAAAATCCCTGTATGTTTTTAAAATGACATCTTTTAATAACTCAATTATTCAAACAGTTGTGAATGAAAAAGTCAAATTGCAGAGTAGGTGGAGTTCATAGCAAAAGAATTTATATTTGTATTGCTTAAGAAGGCAAGCTAACAAGAACCCAGCTGTGAGTTCACAAATGCAAAAAAGTGTTTTTGAATATTAACTATTCCTTTTTAGAGATGTAAAAACTAAAGCAGAGGCATGAAATGTTTCTTCAAGATTTGCCAAGTGTCAAATGTATTTTCATAGTAATTATGAGTAATTATTGTTGATGCCTGTGGTGTTTTTCTTCTTGTTCTTTTATATCAAGTTTGTTGTTCTTTTTTACTAAGTTAGGCGTAAGGAGGGAGGGAGTATTAAAATAACTTTGTCCTCTCCAGTACTTGTAGGCTGGGAAAAACAGGACAACTCACCAGTTATGGAGGTTCCTCACTGGCTCCTCAGTTGTAGAAAGAGGAAATACTACATGAATATGTAGATGATAGTAAAGTTTTCCTCCCAAAAAATATTTTTAAAAGATTGGTTTGGAAATAAGAACCTAATTTTCTATGAATACTTCTTTGGTTGGTTGGTTTTTTGAAGGAAAAAAATCATTAGGTTTGTTTCTTAGTAATCTAATAATTTAAAAGTAACTTGTTTCTGAGCATGAAGAGTTCATGGGTTTTTAATCAGTTGGGGGTGAGGTTTTGTAATTTTAAAGTAGCGTGAGTCTCCCTCCTTGAGACTATTTGTTCTGATCCAGTTTATTTAGGAATAAAAACCAAACAAAACATCTTTTCAATATCCTGAATGTAAAATAATGGACCCTAGAATTTCAGAAAGGTTTCCCTTTCTGTTTTTAAGTAGCCTGTTTAAAAGAGAAATCTTTCTTAGAAAATGTTCCAGTACTTATATGGACAATACCTTCAGACTTTGTTTTTCTGTTATATAAAGAAATAAGGGATTACCTTTCCCCATGTATCTACAAATAGAGTTTCCATGGTTACCTGGGTACCTGCTCCTTGGGGATATGAGCAAAAGCAGCTTAGCAATTAAATAGCTTGATTTGTCATCTGAAAGGAGGAATCGTTAGGAAAATGGTATTTGGGTAATTCACAGGCAGACTCCCAGCCATGTATACATCACTAATGTGTCATTTATACAGCGTGATTACTTTCAGCAAGGCCCACACAAAATGAAGCCCTCATCACCAGTTTGCATGTTTGCTTCAAGGCAGGACTGCACAATTAATCCTTTCTATTCCATCTCTCCATGATTCTGGTATTATCTCAAATTCCACGTGTCTGTTTATGGGATAGAGACCAAAGGGATGACTAATAAAACATCTTCAAAGTAGCATAGAGCTTGGGTGATGATGCTTTTAAATCCTGCAGCAGAAAGCACTCCTACATGCTTGTCATTGAGAAATTATTTGTTCTTGAACTGTATTGCTCTGCAGCTGACAGCAAAATTACCCAAATGGAGACTGTCCCTCACATGCTGTTATAATGAGGAAGTAATTGGTGTTCTGTGATGTATCCATAAAATGCCCAGGTGAACCAAAGCGGGCAAGACTTACATCTCTGCTCTAAAAATCAAACAGAGAAATCAAGACTGTCATATATACATGTTTAATAGAATGGAAGTCTTCAAATCTCTTGAAAAAAATTACCGTTAAAAATACCAAATTTCTGAAATATTAGTTAGGAAGAACTGATACAGGAAGAAAAGGAATACATTTGATTTGCCACAGGTGGAAAATATATGTGAAAAGAAAAATATTTTTATTTTTTATCTTAAGCCTTGCAAAATTTTCAACAATTGGATAATCCTCTAAGTGCTTTCTCCCATAATCTATTCTTAACTATTTGCTCTGCAGGCAAATGACAGTTACTTTTGTGAATCAGCTAGTGGAGTGTCAGGAGTGCCATAATCTCTACCACCAGGATTGCCATAAACCTCAGGTGACAGACAAGGAAGTGAATGATCCTCGACTTGTCTGGTACTGTGCCCGCTGTACCAGGCAGATGAAGAGAATGGTAGGAGTCAGTTTTTTGTCTCGTGTGAGCTCTATTTGAATACAGCAGGCTATTTCTACTGTGTGAGAATATTTCCTGGGTTAGACAAGTCTTAGGAAGCACGTTGGAGAACCATTTTTTTCAGCAGTGCTTCCCTTGCTGCAGCTGTGGTTTTTAATGTAGCATCTCAAAGAGTATTCTGTAATGCAGTAATGCACTTCTGAAACAAAGCTTTTTAAAAATCAGAAGGTGACTGAAGAAAAGTGAAATAGGATTGTTTCCTGCTTGGCAAGCAGAAGTTAAAACCTTTTTTTTTTTATTTCAGGTGATACTCAGCTTTTAGTATTAGCTCTGCAGTTTAAGTTTTCTTCTCAGCTTTGGATATGAATGGTTCTTTTCCTGTAGGACAAGACTGCCAATTTCAATCTGACGTATTGAATGTTCTCAGGGTCAAAAATAAGCTGAGGGTAGCACATTCCAGTTAAAAAAAAAAGAGATTTAAAAAAAGCCTTTCTTTTGATTTATCTGCATGACTGAACAGTATCCTACCAGATTCCCACTCATCTCATTATGAGAAAAAAACATAAGAGCTTTGGGTGCATGGAGCATTAGTGACTTTAGTTCTGATGTTTTAAAATCACACCCAGAATACAGAAAAATACAGCAGAAAATGTGTTTTGAAACTGTTCTTTGATAACTGAGCAAGTGTTATCTGTTGAAATGGCTCCACTAAGAAACAAGGAAAGAAGGCAGAGTAAGGTCCTGGCCTAGGATGTACCAACACTGACTGAAGTATGTGATTTTGTGATGATCTTCAGGCCTTTGAACTCGGAGGTGTGTTTGCTTGAGGTCAGTTCCTGCACAGGGTAGCCAGTTTAGCCATTGAGCAGTTTCCTTCAGTATGACCTTTCCTTTTTTTTTGTTTTGGCATGAATTCTGCCATTTTGCCTGCCACTTCTTAGCAGGCTCTTACAGCCTACATCCCAGTACTGCTGGACTGTGTTCTTGTCTTCTGCAAGTTCACCTGTCTTTGCCTTGTTCCTGTAAAGGCCCAGTGCTTTCCTACTCTCCAAGCATCAACACTGCCACTCTTTCCACACTGAAGTAGCAAGCTCTGTTCAGGTTGCTTTTTGGCTGGACCCTGACCTCAGTTCCATACCCAGCACATCTCCACATCCCCTGTTGCCTCATTTCTCAGGGACCATTAAACCTGAAATTGTAAAGGCTAGATTGCAATCTTAAAATGCTCATGCTTTTTGTTAACAGTCAAAACAGTCCATGTTATGTGGCCCATAACTTATTTAGGATGTTTTTATCCTACCACTTACACAGGCTCAGAAGACACAAAAACCACCTCAAAAACCAGCTCCTGCAGTGGTTTCTGTTGTACCAGCTTTGAAGGATCCATTGGTCAAGAAACCAGAAATCAAGTTAAAACCTGAGACCCCACCAGCTTTTCTGGCATTCAAGAGAACAGAAGTCAAGGTAATGTAGTTTAAATTTACCAGAGGAAGAGTTTGTTGCACTGCACAGATTAATGGGGTTTTTTTCCAATTAGACCAATCTTTTCACTTAAGATCCATAATTGAAAATAGTCATCAGTACACTATTGGAAAATAGTCATCAGTACCAGGACATCATGGGTTTGCATGAACACTGAAAGAATGGGAGGAAAAAAACTCACTTCACGTGTGGATGCCCCATCTCTGGAAGTGTTCCAGACCAGGCTGGGTGGGGCTCTGAGCAGCCTGGTCTAGTGGAAAGCATCCTTGCCTATGGCAGGGAGATTGGAACTAGATAATTTCAAAATCCTTTCCACAACCTGAACCATTCTATGATTTATGAATCATATTAAATGCATTATTTACTCTCTCTAGCCAAGTAACTTATGTGTATTTTGACACTTGGAAGCCTTTTTCTCATGGCAACAGTGGCCTTGACAGTGCTGAGTTTACACTTGAATTTGATGATCTTGAAGGTCTTTTCTAGCCTAGATGGTTCTGTGATTCCATTGTAGGGAAAGTGTTGCTGACTCTGTGAGATTTAATTTAGGAGCTTCTTAAATATAATCTGATCTAGGGGCTGGCTTTCCTGCCCAAACCATTCTGTGATTCTCTTCTTTGATTCTTTGTTGCTTCATGTTTCTGTTTTTCCAAGTTAAAATATTGTCAAAAGGTCAAATTGGTCAAAGGTGGTAAACCAGAAGCAGTGTAATAAATAACAGAGTAGTCTCATAAAGCATGACCCTTTCTTAGGAAAACACAGTTTTATCTGAAAATCAAAGCAATTATTCATGTGCTCAAAGTTATGTTTGCCATTGCTCTGCCTGGATGCAAACCATCATGAATACTAGGATGGGTATTGCTCTAGCACTCGTGCTTGTGAATGACTTTTTTCACCTCAGCAGAGTTATTTATGTGCCTAAACAGGTTATAAGACCTGGGGCCTGATTTCTTACATCAACTTTACTGTTTAGGAGTTGTCTGGGTATACTATAAAAGGAGTATTACTTGAATAGAGAGGTTTAGTTCTTGTTTTGACTCTGCCATTTGGTCTAGCTCTGATTTAAATCAACATATCATCCTCACCTGAAGCCTGGGGATTGCAGGGTTTAAGGTGTGGGAACTCAGTGTGGATAGCACAGTGCTTCACAGGCAAAGGGAACCCATGTTTGCAGAAAGTTTGTCTTTTGCAGTATCTGAATGGGAAAAGACTATAGGATAATATTATTTTTTTTTAGTTCTCTCTGTGGTACAAGTTGCTAAGAACCAAGAAGAAAGGAAACAGTTTTGATACTGCTACTTGGACAGTTTCCTAAAATAAATGCAATACTTAATTGCTCAGTGTCTGATTTTTGTCTGAGCATCTGTCAGCTTGTTGAAAAGTGACACCAGGTAACAACAGTAAGCAAATAAAAAAGAAGCCAAGACACTACCTTTTATATAGTTCACAAATTTGGGCTTTTATTGTTTATGGAGGGATCCCAGTGCTGTGTGATTGTCTGCTAAGTGTACAGAAGGAAGGGAAGAAGGGATATATTGTGTTCTGCGTGCCTGGGAGATTGAAAGTTGGCTGCACCTGGCATCCTTTCCTGTTCTTGTTAGTACTTGTCAACTGTGCTGACCAGTGATGAAATATTGTCCACTGGGTGTTCCTGGGAAAAGAACTGAATCGGAGGCTCGGTGTATTCCTGCTGTGATGTGTTACACAAATAGATGCTGCTATAATAAGAATGCTTATTTATTTTAGACCTCAGCAGCAGTTTCGGGGAACTCTGCCAGTACAAGCGTTTCCTCTTCAGCAACGAGTGGCCTTACAGGATGGGCTGCTTTTGCAGCCAAAACCTCCTCTGCCAACCCATCCACTGCCAAACTGGGATCGACAGCACAGAGTGCCGGCGGGAAACCTGCAGCTTCTTCAAATAACCAGAAACCCGTGGGGTTGTCAGGGCTGGCGACTTCAAAGACGGGACTGGGGGCCAAAATAGCTTCTGCCAACAACAGCGCTAACCCCGTGCAGCTGAAGCCTCCCCCGCCGCTGACCCTGGGCAAGACGACGCTGAGCCGCTCGGTGAGCAGCGACAACGTGAGCAAGGCGGGGCTGCCCAGCCCCAGCGGCGCCACCCCCGGCACTGGCGGCACGGCCGGCGGCGGCAACGGCAGCGGCGGCGGCGGCGGCTCCGCGGGCGGCAGCGCCGGCAAAGCCGCGGCTGACACCGGCAACCAGCCCGCGTCCCTGAAGGGCCCCACCTCGCAGGAGTCCCAGCTCAACGCCATGAAGCGGCTACAAATGGTTAAAAAGAAGGCTGCTCAAAAGAAGCTCAAGAAGTAGTCTGGCTGCTTGCCGATGTTGTTGGTTGTGTTCCGTGAGACAGCACCGTCGGTGTTTTTCTTAAAGGAAATCCCCCAGGTACTGGACTGGAAGAGGTTAAATCAGGGAAGCCCAAACCTTATGTAATACAGAAGGTCAAACCTTAATAATTCCGGTAATCCTTCTGCCTCTCCAAATCTGTGAATTGAATATGTTAGAGGAATTCGTTATTACATGCTCCTGGTTTTGTAGCTCAAAGCACTGAAACTTGAAATTGGAGATGTTGGGTATTTTTTGATATTAAAACCCCCACATTTGTGTAGATACTTAATAAATTGAACTTGCTGAAACCATCATTCTTAAATGTTAATAATAAAATTATTATTAATCTGGGAAGTCATTGCCACTCTTCTTTTGCCCCATATTCCAGTACTTAAAATGCTTCAGATGTTCAATATTGTGCAGAGTTTATTGCCTCAAATTGTAAAGCTTGTTAGGGGAAAAAATACTTTAATTTCAAAATTTAACTCTTTGATATATTTAGATTGAGATTTTTAGTTTGGCAGTTTGCTAAATTGGCCTGTTTTGGTTTTATACAGTGAGAAATTTCAACTAAAAAAAACAGAAGAGAGTCAAAACTGTCTTCAAGTTTTCTTAAAATGTAGAGAACCGTCCTGGATTTGAGAAGTATCAAGTACTCCAGCTCTCCACGGTTACCCCTGAGCTGTTCTTCATGGTTTGTGCTCCCTCTCTTCATCCCAGCTGCTCCAGGTTTTGTTCAGCTTAGATTTGGCTCAAGGTGGGCACTGGAAAATGACCTTGAGTCTTGCTCTCTGTGTCTAGCACATGGCAATTTCCCTCCATTCCTTCTGTGATGAGGGGAGCATCTCTAAACATGAAAACATCTTGGACTGTATTAGGTTTGCATGGCCAGTGTTATTTTCTCCTTATCATACTCTGATTTGATGGGTAATAAGTCTCATTAATCTTCCATAATGGTAATTGGAGAGTGATCTCTCACTCCCCTTATCTTGGCCTATGACCCTTCCCTTGTATTTTCTGTGCCCCCCACCCAGCTGAGGAGGGGAGTGAGTGACAGAGCAGCTGGAGTGGGCACCTGACATCTGTCCCTGGTCCGTGGTGACACAGACTGGCATAGGTAGGTGAAAGCTACTGTTTCTCTTTGCCATCCTGTATTTTAAGTGTGCATAAAGCTTGATACGTGTTAGCTGTTTCCCATACCTCATTTCCTTTCTCCACAATTAAGATTTAGGCTGTAGTTCCTTAAACAGCCAAAGGAATAGTTTAATTTACTCAGGATTGCCTCAGCTGCCTGGAAAATTTGCAGATTTTTTCAGCTATTATTTCCTGTGGAGGGAAAAAAAGAAGGGTTTTATCTTTGTAGTGCCTGCAGCTTCCAGGGCTGTGTAAAAATAACAGCATGAGGAGGAGGAATCCAGAACTTTTACTGCTTTTTGATCAGCCCATCCTTCCTCCTTTCCAGCACAGAGGGTTTTTAATGGTAGCATAGTAGGAAAAGACACTGATGCAGTTTCCATTAGCAAACAGAAGGCATATTTTCTTCCTAAGTGTTAATCAGAAGACTGATGCCTACACTAAGAAGTAGTGTGAAGATAGATCCTTTAAATGGCCAAGTGCTCCTATGTGAAGTGTTCATTCCAGTAGTAAAACCTGCTCCCAGAGGAGTGTTCAAGGTGCTAGGTGCCTGTCTTGTCTCTGAACAGACATAAAGCTTTGCTGGTGAGAGTGCAGGAGCTTACATCTCAACTGTCCCCATTACCTTAGGTACCACCAGTGAGGTGAACACGGGCAGAGGAATGATCCTTGTTTTCAAATACTGGTAGCTTATGCCATTTAGAATACTCCTGAGACTGATCCAAGTGTGCCCTGATGTCTTTGCATCTATAATTCTGGCATGGATTGACTGTAGGGTCCCTCCATTCAGAATGAAATAAGTGATGCTGTGCTTTTTGTGCCTCTCTTTTCCCTCTAATAAGGCCAAAGTCTGGCTGCACTCATCAATAGCACTGCATTAGCAAAATCTGCAATACAGGTACAGTTTGCATCAGCAAAAGACATTTTTCCACTGTAACTTTCCCAGATTCCTAAATGAAATACAAAGTCATCTTCTGTTGGTATAAAAATGTCAGTTAGGATTTTGATTCTTTGAAGTATTATATCAGAAAGGATTTATAGCACAGACCAGGTCTTTTAGAACGAGTGTTTAGCTTGAATATGTTAGATAGGCACTGCTGAAAAACAGAGAAGATTGAAGGGAACAGTTGCTTTCTGCTTTGATGTTATAGTTAGGATGGAATTAACAACTGTATTTTCAGGAAAGGAGTCTGTTCTACAGGCTTGTTTGACTGAAGTCGTGTGTCAGGTTGAGGAATGGAGTGTAGGGCAGGAAGAAGGAATGCCCATCTGAAATTTGAGAAGCATGCCTCCTGTTTAGTAAAAATAACTGGAAAATAGTCCTGTGATTTTTCTATCCCCAAACCAAATTGCTCTGTGATTTACTGTAAAAATAGCTACCTGGCTTTTCTTAAATATTTTAGAAATTGGTGTGGTAGTAATTTATTTCCACTTAAATAGGATGGTTTGTTTCATAGATGCCCAACTTCTGATACCCTCAGTAATGTGAAATTATAGTTTACTCTGGTTCCATGAGTGCTACTTCTGGCTGGACTAGGGGATGCTGGTGATACCTGTGTCTTAAAATGAAGGTCTAACACAAGGCTCTGCGATTTACAAACTTTTATCTACTGCAGCTCATAGTGGTCACAATCTCAGGAGCAGCTGGAAAAGAACAGAGCTATGCTGACATTTGGAACCTTGAAGTGTATTTTTAAACTTTCTTAGTATTTTTGATAGCGCTTGAAAAGTTCTAATGTATTTGTCAATAAGCTAGGATGCATCCTAGAAATGCAGCATTTTATCTGAGGCAACTAACTATTTCCTCTGCTAACTTTGAAGGCAGATCTTGGATAGCATATAAAGCTCTTTGCTTCTGGAAAACATAATATTTAAAAAAATAAAGAAGAAGAAACATCTTTACAAAAATAGATTTTATTATTACAATAATTTAAAAGAAGATTTTTTTTTTTTACTATTTCTCAACAATATTGTAATAGGAATTATCAGTAACAGATCTATGGGAGCAAGGATTATCATGGCTGTGTTTCCTAGTGCAGGTGGTAGGTCCACTTCATCTATCTTCATTTATAAAGCTATCTTAAAATGACAGCAAAAGCATACTTGATTGCTTGAAGGAGGTAATTACTCAGTGAAGCTTCCAAAGATGAGAAGTCAGAAGGAATAATTCTTCAGTCTGTGTTTGCATTGAAAAGCTGAACCCCTGCTGGAAGATCACCCAGCCAAAGGGAAGATGGTGAAGCACAGAGGTCCCAGAGGTCAGAGCCTGGGACTCTGCTGTGTACTGGCTTGGACACTTTCTGGGTTCCAGGTTATCAATGGCAACACATAAAAATATTCCCTGAATGGAAAAGCACTTCAGTTTGAGTGGACCCAATCTTGGAAGTAGTTGTACATATTTATTGTCACACCAGCTCAAGTAAAACATACATTGGAACAAATGCAAGATCAATCCAGTAAACTGCAGCCTGTCCCTGCTTCAATCAAAATTAATTAGTTTTGTCATTAATGAGAATGAGAATAAGAAAGCTCTTAGAATATAGTAACCTTCCCTACATTCAAAAAAATCCAGTGGCAAAACCATTGTATATTCTTATGAATTTCTGGAGTCCTAACACAGCTCCGTTACTAGTATTTAAAGCACTGTCTTAACAAAAAGATGAGTGAGCAAGTCTAATATGAATTGTTGTAAATCCTTAATTTGGAAGGCTTTAGATTCAAGGAGCATCTCTTAATTTCCTGCAATTGCTGTTTGCATTAATCTGTTCTAAACAAAAATTAAAGTTTGCAACATATTCATAATATCAAATGATAATGGCTCACAATTTGAATTTCTGAAATGGACTAAGCCAATCCACCTGAGTACCTAATTACATACTTTTACTGGATCCCAAGTTAGGGGGCTATAATAAAGTCATATAATTATGCCACAATATAAAAATTATTATGGGTCCTAATCCTACAGGGATTTCATTTGGCCTACTTGGAGTTCCTAGATTCCCCAGAAATTCAGGTGGTCAACTCCAGTATATTCATCCTTCATTCCTTGTTACTTCAGGATCAGGATACCTAGCGAAAATTTTGGAGAGCAGCATTTGAGTACTCTTTGAGACACCTTCATAGAGTCTGATTCTTCATGGAGAATGTACCTAACACTCAAAATCTGAGCTCTCCTGTGACTCAAGCGGAGTTCTCAGTGCTAAGACTTCAGAAATCTTTTTTTTCCTCTTTTCCTTGATTAATTTCACTGTCTGAAATAAAAAACTTCATAATTGTGCTTACATGACTCCATTAAGCCTAAGTACAATTCAGCCATTTCTAAAACTGTTTCAACTATTGCAAAATATAGATCTTCTCCAAGTAAAATATTCTAAATTGTAAAACAGAGCTGAAAACCTTCTTGTGTGTATCTTCCCCATAATTTCAAAATATAAATGCCAAAGCAGTAGCGATGCTTTGGGTAGCGATAAGTCTTTCAGTCCATTCTTCCAAGATGATACTCCCTCTGCACTTTTATTTTCTTCATTTAACTGAAGGTGAAGCTTTCCATAAAAGCAGCTAAATCCATTAATTAAGTGATTGAGAACCCTTTTTGCTTGCTATGGGAACAGAAAGATTTAAGTGCCTGAGGTGATGCACAATAATGCAAAATAATGCTCACTGGATAGCAGCACTACACAGAGATTCCCACACCAGATTCTGGATATCTATCTCTGAGAACTCTAAAAGTTTCTCTATCATATGATTTAATCCAGCACAAATTTCAGGCTGCTGACAACTTTTTCTACCCTTCTATGAAAATAATCTGAAAATTGAGGACATTAAAGAAAATGAAACCAGGTTCATTAGCATAGCAGAAACTATTGTGTGTAGCAACTGCCCTAACGTTTCTTATCCTTTCTTTGCTGACAGGTTATTTTCTATTACATCTCACTAAGCATTTTGAATCATTTCATCTTCAAACCCCACTCTTCAAATTATGGGAAGTAGAAAGTCAGACAAAAGCTTTAGAACAATTTCTGTTTACCCTCAATCAGCAACACTACCTGCTCTCCCACCCTTAATTGTAACAGTGTTGTCATTTTTGTCATCAGCACAAGCAATTATGCAAACCAGAAAATACCTGACAGGAGTTTACTTCCAGTTACACTGTTTGCAGCAGGCACAATCACTTTTTTGTTTCCTTTTTGCAGTGCTTTGCACCAGGTTTTGGCTAATCA